TGGCCTCGTCAAATTTCGGGCCTCAACAATCTACGCCGTGACTCCGCGAGCGTCAGAAAGACGTCGGCGCAAAAATGATCCCCTGACAAAACCCCAGCTTAAACAAGCCCCAAGCACCATGCTCTGGGGTCGGTGGATCTTGCGGATGGGCCACGCGTGGATGTCTGTGTGATGAGAGCTGTTTCGCGCTTTGTTGACCATCTGCTGTTGACCTGTATGAGGGGCTGTTTCATGATTGCTTTGTTGACTATGCAGGGCTTGGCTGCAGGGTGGCACGGATCGCATCACCCACGACATCTGCCGCCCCCGAGTTCCGAGAAACTGGCAAAGCTTTGAATGGATCAGTGCATACCTACTTACGCAGACCAAACGTTTTGTGTGCTCCTAACTCCTCGCCACGCCTAAAAGGCTTTTTGCGACTGGCAATGCGCCAGTGTGCCCGCCAACAATTGGATGTTGCAGCTGCGCTTGATTGTCGTAGCCTTCGCCGCACTTTGCGTGCTACGCGCCCGCCGATTTCTCCAAAGGCAGCTGGCAAGGCAATACCCTATTGGTTGGCCGCCGTGTTCTGAGCTAGATCAAGCAGTTCCTATTTGCGCGGTCATACACAAACGTGTGCTGCCAGCATGATGAACGCCCAGTCTTGTCGCAGGCGCAGACTGAAGCAGTGCACGCTGGCTCAAAACCGAGCTTTTGTGGCTGCTCCTGCCAAATTTCCACCAAGCGGTTCTTTCTTTAACTTTGCGCCTTTTCAGCACTGAGCATGCAAAATGGGACGGGGTTCACGATTCTGTTTTTGTCACCTTGAAACCCTGGCTGCGACTGGTTAGGGTTTCGTGGGGCGAAACAGGCAACTCCGCGCGCTGTTGAACGGAGAAACGCAACTTGTACCTACCAGGTAAACGGAGGCACAGGGAGCTCCTACAAGTCTTGCTCACCCTCCCCGTTGACTCCTACATTCAACCCCTCGCCTAGTAATTAGTGCGTTACATGAAAGCGAATCAAATGATGTTCTCTTGGCTCGCAGGCAGGGGTCGAGAGTTTGGGGTGTGTTGGGGTGTGGGGGGTTGTAGCTGGATCAAGCGCAAGACCCCGAATTGGTAGTCCGCCCCGTGGTGAATCGGGAGCCTTAGGGATGGGAGAAACAAATTGTCCTTTTACAACCAACATGGGATTTGTTTTTTATGTTTATTTTTTAAAAAAAAAAAAAAAAAAAAAAAAAAAAAAAAAAAAAACATGTCCTTAAGCAAAAAAAAGACTGTCCTGAAGCCAAATGGACGTAATAAAAAAAAAAAAAAAAAAAAAAAAAAAAAAAAAAAAAAACGGGGGCCCGCGGACTTCCGATCCGAAGCGAATCCCGTGGCCTGGGTGCAGCCCAGCGCCACGGACACCGCGGGGTTGAAGTTGGCCCCGGAGACTTTGCCCATGGCCTAAGCGTCCAACTGGCGAAGACGTCCACCGGATTTTTATTTGTTTAAATGGGTGTTTTGTTTTCTTTCTTCTGATATTTCACCAAGCTGAAATCAGTTTGGGGAGCTATTCCCCACATAAACCACCATTTGGGGTGAGGTCAGGCATACATATGTCAGGCACGTATATTCATATGTCAGGCACGCACATACTCCAGGGAGTGTGGCTAAGCTAAGCAATACTTCCATTTTCTGAAGCCCCCTGGAAAAAACACATACAGTATGTCCAGTGGTGAAATTGATTGCCTTTCAAACCAGCAGGGGGAAAATAAAAACAATCTTAAGCAAGTGGAAGCAAGCGTCCAACTGGCGCCTTGGCGAGCGATCCCGTGAACGCCCACTTACGCCCCGTTTTTTCCCCGGTGGATGTTCCGAACGAATGACGCTCGTGTGGTGTTGCTGTTCCTCCCCAAAAGGGCGGGATTTATAGAGGAAATCCATAAGAAAACCACCCATTGCACGGGGGGTCCATCGACAAGGGCCCCCTTCCTCCAAATACCTGCCAGCCTGCCATTCTGTCAGAGCATGTTTCGAATACCTCTTCTTTGGGTCAAGGGTTGACTATACCAAAAAAAAAGCGGGGTATTTGGAGTAGGTTCGACCCATATTGCCTTCCTTTTACTACCTCATGCCAAGCCCCGTATGTTTCTGCCATTGATACCAAGATGCAGCCCTTGCGGTCAACTTGCAAACCTCTTGGGAGGTTTGCCAAAGAAGACTTCGGGGCCCATGGGCCACAGCGAAAACGAACAGCTCCTGTTGGACAAATCAGGGGGCCTCGTCCCAAACCAGAGTGGCTCGCAACATATGCCTCGGCGTCCTCTTGGTTTGCCAACAAAAAAAGGCCCAAAGAGAGATCCAAAGAGTTGATAGCCTCACAAAATGCCCACACACGAATTCACCATACTCCTTTTGAGGATCCCCCCTGCTTGGGTTACATGTGAATTCGTTGGAGGGTGCCGGGTCCACTAAAGTGACAGTCCAACTGCCCTCTGCATTCAGGTCTAAGGGGTTTCCCAAAAGTACTCCAATGAGAACTCAAAAAATCGGCCCATGTTCCTTCCGACGCAACCAGGTTGTTTCTTCCCCCAATGACCCTTGTCTTTCTCCTCGCTTTTTCCCACTGGTGTTTTGGCTTTCCCACCGAACCTTTCCTACCGAGCCGGGCCGCTGGAGCATGGGCTCTGGGCGCTTCATGGGCTTCACTCACTTCCGATCGAGTTGGACTTTGAAGCTTGGGCTTGGAATGTTTGGACTGTTCTAGTGGTAAATATCAAGCTCAGGCTTGTTTCGGCCGGTTTCCACTCGTTCGCAAGCGAGTCGTTTTTTGACGGACTCCGCTCCGCGGCCCTCGCCTGGATCGCCACGAAGAGCACTGCGCCAATGGAGAGCCCGGCGAAGGTGGAGGAGCCTCGCGAGGGCGCTCCGGCTGCCGGGGCCGAGGGGTTGCGCTTGGGAGAGGGTTTTGGAGAGGGTTTCGGGTTTGGGGGGGGTTCAGAAAGGGTTTGGGGTTTAGGGTTTGGGGTTTGGGGTTTAGGGTTCGCCCAGGATTCGATTCTGGAGGATTCTGGAGGATTCTGGAGGGTTTGGGGGTGGAACCCCCAGGTCCAAAAAAGCCCAAAGCCCAAACCCCAAGTCCCCGGGCTGGGGTGAATCGGTCAATCTCAGGTCCGGGAGCTGCACTCGCAGGAGGCTTTCTCGGACCTTTTGTGCCCATAGGTGTCCGTCTTAGGGGTGGAAATAGATGGGTTTCGCTCTGGTAGAGTAAGCCTGGTTTATTCCAGGAATCGAAACCCATCTATTCTTTTGCAACAGCCAAAAAGGACACCTATGTGAGTGCCACAACCCCCTTCACATGCCGCTGCTGGATAGTGTTCTTCCTTAGATCGCAGAGTTCTAGTGGATTCCGTAGGAAAAACAAGAACTCTTTGGTGGTTGATTTCGGGCTGTCTTTTGTTTTGGGGTACTTTTAAAGGGACACCAACGGGACACCGCATGTATTACTATGTTTCGATTTGGGGGGGGGGGGGGGGGTCAAAACAAAATCAGCAGGCCCTGCGTCGGCCCCGCCCGAACGCAAACCCCCATGGCTGTTTGAGAGACCCCTCCTCAAATGAGTGGTTTGGTTGAATTCCTTTCCAAACACTATATACCCTAAAAGGGGTACCCTCAAGAACTAAATCCACATGTTGAGTGTATGCTTCCATTGGTTCTGGTGTCACCACAACATGAAATATACTGGTCATGCCCGTTCTAGGAAGAAACAAATATCACCTTACGCTAACTTCAAGCCAAAACAAAACCTAGTCAGCATTCAAGGAGTAAACCATTTGTATATAGAAGCCCCACCCCCTCTGTCTTAAAGAAATGGCCCTACATCAAGCCGTCCGGCGATTGGGTCACAGATGTCCTGGTCGACGTGTTCAATTGTCATGCTTGGAAAGGCCAAGCGAATTTTAAGGTCTCCATCGCAAGACACAGTCTATGCTGCCACACATAGCTGATCTGGGCATGGGTCAAACATAGCCAAAACGGATCCCTGGAAATTGGAAACGAGGACTCAAACCTGCGGGTTTTCTGGCTTAATTTTGACCCATACCCATCTGTTGATTCCTTGCCAAAAGTGTACCATGCCTGAAATCCCGGAAAAATATGATGGGAACTGCGTGGGCTGAAATGCGAAGCTTGTGTCATTTGCAGTGAGAGGGAGGGAGGTCCATTCCATGTCTTGGCAACGGGGAAGGGTTGGAATGTTATTTGATCCGAAATGGTGCACATCAGAATGCGTTAGGGATATCCAACCAGTGTCAAGGGGGGGGGGTCCTTATTAACATTCATTGCATGAAATTCCAAAGTACCCCCTTTCCCCTTCCCCTTCCAGGTGGAGGGGAAAGGTTTTTCAGGGCATTTAAGTCCTTCACTTCCTTTTTTGATCCATGGCACCTGTGGTGACATTGCAAACCACGGTGAAGACCAAGAGAAACGTCCCCAGGAATTCGGCGGTGCACTTGGCGATGAGAGAAGGCTCCGCTGCCATGGCGAATAGAACGTTCGATACCGAGTAGTTGATCGTGAAGTAACAGTCGAGGGCTCGAGCCGAAAAAATTGGTAATGCCCCCAGGGCAATTGCAGGTCGCAGGACTTGGGACTTTGATTTTGGGCCATTAAACAAAAAAAAACAAAAAACACGGGAACATGTTTGGGGGACTAGAAAAAAGGTATAGAGATGGTCCTCCCCGTTTGACCCTCACGCATTTGACCTTTTTGGGAGGATTGAAAGCAGCACTTTAACATGGCCCCACGGAGCAAGGGCATTGCCCAGTTCTTGCTGGCTCCCAGGAAATGAGGCAATGGCCCCTAGAAGCCATCGCTGGCTTCCTGGAGGGCCCCCCTACCCCCCCTCCGGAAATCGGTGCCTTGCCTTTGGCTCCCAAAACCCCAAGAAGGTCCAAAAAGTGATACCACCATTCCCCCCACCGAGAACCAGCAAGGATCGCAGACCGCACGGAAACGGTCTGGGGGTGGGCGGACATCTCGTAAGTCCTGCACTCTGTCCTTGTACTCAATCCTGGCGAATCGCGCGTTGCGACGGATTCAAACGGACAACATGCGAATCAGAATTGTAGACAAGGGACCTGCAAATGGGGTTAAAGTGGCCTTCTGCAAACAGTCGGGTACAGTTGGGCGAAAGTAGATCGCACAATTTCCAACCCTACTCACTTCCTGAGTGGAGTGGCCAAAAAGCGTCAAAACATTCTACTCAAAGCGAACATGGCCTTCCCAAAAAGTTTAAAGTCCGGGAACTCAGGAAGGTTATGATTCACCCACATAAAGGGTTTCTTTGTGCTATCCACTTCTGGGCAACATATTACCGGGGTTTCGATGGCGGTCATGTTGGCGGGTATTGCTACGATATTGATTGTGATTTGCTTTGGGGATCTCAAAAAAACAATCTACTTTTGCTTGCAAGATCCCATAGCATCCCATAACACTTGATTCACTTGCGGTCCATGACATCTGGTGCCTCCAGCTGATTGAGTACAGTCCCTAAGATCCCATGCGCCTGGCTGGTTCTCAGAAAATCACTTGAGGAGGGTTTGCCGTCTGGATCCCTGACCTAAGCAAACCGCTTGCAGGTAACTAGAATCCTCCCAAAGGCGGCCACCAGTTGGATGTTTCAGGTTCAGACATCCGAATCCCCAAATCAAGCCCAAAAAAGGAACCCTCAAACAAAGACACGCCCCGGCCCAGGATATCGAACTGGGCACGCGGAAAAACAAAAACAAAAACAAAAAAACAGATCTAAACGGATGGCTCAGCGCCATTGGGCGCCACTTTGCATGCCAACCTTGTGGGTTGCCGAATGGGTCTCTTGACACAACCTCCTTTTGGTTTCCCAAGGGCAAATCAACTCGGGTCGTGTTGCTTCATCTGACCTGAGTTGACTGACCCAAAAAGTTAGAACATTTTCGGGCCCCACCTCGGAAACGGCAAAAATGTGAGAACGCAACAACGCCAACTCCGCCGCACGAATCTCGACCCAGGTCTCAAGGGGCCCCCAAACCGCTCGAGTGGCCCAGCTCGGCACTCGCCCGGGCGCCGTTGAAAATTATTCAAATCTCAGTTGCAACCAGTTTGGACCCAAAAATACGAGATCACCTGTTGGTGCTAAGACAGGAAACCAGATTTGAGAAACCAAGAGTAACAGGTCGAATCGCTTTGGGCAACTAAGAAACTATCTCTTGTACACTGGGGCCTGAGGTTGTCAGGTCTCGCAAGCCATTAGCCGACACTCCCAAACCGCCTTGGGGTATGAGTTGTAGCTGGTTCCTTGGCTCTTTGATTCCTTGGCTCCTTGATTCCTTTCCTCATTTGATTTTTGGTTCCTTGGTGCCTTGGTTCCTGAGTCAATTGCTTCATTCGCTCCTTGGTCCCTTGGTTTCTTGGTTCCGTGGTTCCTCGGCTCCTTGGTAGTTGGAGATATGTTCATCCATGGAGGATGTTCCAACCAGGCGAGTTCAAAGCCAAACAAGTCGGCCCGGCAGCTTCTTCGACTCTTCCGGCGTCGGTAGGACGTGGATGAGCAACTGGCAGTTGCGATTCGCAGCGGCGAATCGCTACCGAGAAAAAAACCACTCGGATGGTATTCCCAAGAACCTGAGCTCCAGTTACCGGTGTTACCTCTCAAACCTCACTTGTTCTAAGAGTCTCTGAGGGTTATCTAAGTCAAAACCGACGTTGCTTGCCTTTTGCCCACTTAGCGTGTGGCCACAAAGATTGCCCTGTCTCTCTCGTGATAAAACCAGACTCTATGCAGTTTACCGTAGGGTACCCAATTTTTTTCGGTGGTTTTAAAGTGAATATCAACAGAAAACCACCAAAATAGTGAGTCCCCAAAACAAGACCACATGTGCATTTTGCCTCTGTCCAAATGCCAAGGCTCCACCCCGTTTCTTCGCCTCGACGTCATCGGGGCTCATGACGTCATTTTGAAAGTTGAGGTCCTTGAGATTCTGGCAGAACTCCTGGCGGAATGGACGGCTCCAAAGCGGACAAGAGAGAAACAGCCTTGCAAATGTCAGGCCTACACTGTCTGGGTGTGTGTGACAGGGGTGGATTGAATGGTTTTGTGGGGAAAAGAACAAGCCACCGACCCATGCTAAGAATTGGAACCCTATGTGGGTAAGTTATAATTCTCAGACCGAAGAGAAGAAATGGAATTCAGCTGTCGTCACTGAATCCTTTCCGCAAAGTGTTTAACATTTAGTGGATACTGTGGATGGGTCCGCGAAATCCGTTCGCACAAAGTGACACTATGGGAATGAAGCCATAACGGAACTGTTGGTATTTACGGCGAATCAAATTATTCCGCTGGGTTTCTGAATGGTGATTCAGGAATTCGTCCATCCACACTATGACCTAATTTATCTATGCTTGAAAGTAAAACATCAATGCCTGGGAATCGCCAAGAAAAGGAGGCAAGTATGTTCGGATCCCTCTTACTGTAGTGTTTCCTTCTGTGGGTTGGTAGAGCATTCGTTGGAATTTGAGGAAAGTCAAAAGGGGGCCGAGTCCTGAAATGGAAAGCTCTTGGCTTATGGACATCCTACTCCCTGCCCACTTCTGGGGATGCCCTGAAAGTGACTCACATTTAGTGGGCGACGAAACCAATCAAAATGCTACAAAGCTAAGGGAACACCAAGACTTGCAACCTCTTTACCCAGAAATAAGCGATCACCCCAAAAGGGCCACTAAGAACAGGGATCCTTACATTATACACCTGAACATTGCCTTGTAGATGGTGGTTTCCTTCTATTTTGGTGGAAAAAGCCATGTTTCAAATGGGCAAAATGTATCCTTCAAGGAGCCCTGTAAGAATGGTTGCCAAAAAGCGAAAACTGAAAGGTCACATCCAGTCCATTCACTTTCGTTGCACGTGCGGGTTCTACCTCGCTGAATACGACCTGCCACTTCGCCACTTGGTTTCAGGGTTTCCACTTTCTGACTACCCAAGGTCGACTTAAACCCAGCGTCCGCTCTCTGGGCGAAATGTCCACCATCCCCGGGTTTGTGAAATTTCTGCCTTGGGCGAAATGTCAAAAGGCCCTGCCGACTTTTGGTCGTCAAAATGAGCGCCAGCAAGGGGAGGAACAAAATCGCCGCGCGGCTTTCCTCGTGGTTTCCCCCGACGCCACCAACCATGTGGGTACCGAGCCTCAACAAAACACTTGGTTCCAAGGTCGATGGGCCCATTCACAGAACAGGGGACCAAATACATAAATACAATATATATATATATATATCCTATATATATATATATATGAATTAACTACATATAAATATTATATATGGCACCAACAAACTAACTATATATATAATATATAAATACATAAATACAATTATGTTGTGAACATCAATCTTGACCAAGGTGGCTGAAACGGCCTGACAAAAATCCAACGATACCTCGAGACCCCCATGGTTTACTATGGCTGCCACCCACCGGGCTGGGGGCCGGGCCTCAGTGGACACCTGCGGTTTTTCTTCCGATCCCGCTCCCGAGTTGAAACCCACGTGTGTCTCTTTTTGTCCCCCAAAAGGATGGGTCTCTTCTGGTTGGGTCCCCAGAATGGTGCTTTAAAACCACCCAAAGTCCCCCAAAAACGTACTTGTTAAGGTAAAATGGGTTCAGTGTCCCGTTTGGTTGTCCTTTAATACCAACAAAAAAAGGGAACCCTCGGGTGGATTCCGACGGTGGCAGGGGACATGAAAATGTGGGATGCCGACCCAAAAATCCACATGGCTGTGGATGAACATCAGAATAGGTGGTACATGGGTGTTCATCCGCCCCAAAATGGAGGCATAGGTTATGACCCATGGCCACATGGCGAAAAAGCCAATGACCTTCTGTCAGCTTGCATGCGCCATTTTGGAAGGAACACGCCGAAGAGTGTTTTTGTGAGAAACAAAAAGAAGACCAAAACAAAAAAACAAGCTGCAACACAATGAAGTGGTGTTTCCCACAAGGAAGCCAACTGAGCAATCTAGTTGGAGCAAATTTCGAACATCCCTGGAATGGGCCATGCAGCTTGTCTGGGGCATAGCACGGAGGATGCGCTGCTTGTGTCGCGAAGGGCGGGAAGCACGATATCATGGCTCGATCGTGTCTCGTCTTCTCATTCTTTGGAGAACATGGCCCCGCCCATAGAAATCTCCCTCAAATTTGCCAACCAAGCTGTGCTTCTGGAACCTGAGATGTTCCGATTGAAGCCCCCTGGCGGAAGCCGCCTAGATGCCACAAAAGAGGGCTCAGGAGAGGAAAAAACCAGGAGCCAGTGGGATGTGCGTCTGCGTGTGTAAAGGGGTGGAGCCTGGCTGGCTGTGACTTGGGATGGAAGGATGCATTCTGCCCAACTTCTGACGCGATAGCCAAAGCCCTCTAGGTAAGATCCACACGCTGGCAAGGGGCTCTTACGGACGCTGCAATCAGCTGTTGCGTTGCTGATCCATACGTGGTCAACCTCAAAAGAATCAAACATGTGCCATGGGGCAAGATTCATCACCCCTTGCAATGGTTGTGAGACAACTCCCTGTAGGTTGACCATCCCAAGCTTTCTGGACCCAGTCCTTGACCATGCGGGCCCAGACACATCCCATCCGGCGAAAACCGCCATCCCGGCTTGATCCGACCTGCAAAAAGCCAATTGGTGGAAAATGATCCGGCCCCAAAGGGGTCCTAGAGGATACTTCCGGCCCTTGTTGGCTTCTTCTCCTCTTGCTTTTACTCACGGGGCATCAGGGTGCAGCCGCAGAGGCGCCCCCGTTCCGATGGGTCCGCGCCCCGCAGATGCGGACGGAGCCTTCATCTTGCTCATGACGATGGCCAAGTTCTGAGCCCTTGGGCCGTCCAGGATGCTGATTCCTGGAAAGCGAAATGGACGTGAGCCGTGCAAAACGGTTGTGAGCCGTGGGAGTGAGCCGTGCGAGTGTCGACCCCTGAGTAGTAATCCAGTTCCTTTCGCGGGGTTCCCTGCTTCCGAGTAGTTTTCTTGGTTAATACCTGGGGTTTGTCAATCAGGGGTCGACATGAACAAGGTTTCATGCCGCCGTAAAGGGGGTGGCTCTACCTTGCGGCAGTCCAAAAAATATTGATTGCCCTTGACATTTTGGTGACTAACTGCTTGCTGCTCCAAAGCCACAAAGTTGAATGCCCGCTTCGCCAAGGACAAAGGTCTCCAAATTCCATTCATCTGGTCTCTATACAAAAGCCAACTGAAAAACACACCTGGACCTGTGCAACCGAGTCAAAGCTTAAAGATCCACCAAATCGCGGCCAAGGAGGGCGGCCTGTTCCCCAACAGCCCGGGAACCCCCTGAAAACCCTGCGGAACCCGCCCACCCCACAGCTTCTCTGGGCAGAGACCAAATCCATAGCTTTCAGCTGTCCGTTTCCGTGGATGGAAAAAACAGATGCTTGTAGGTTGTGTAATTCTAGTAGGTCCCTTGGACATCAGGAGTAAGCCACCATACTACCAGAAAGCGATGGCCTACCAAAAACGGACAACTACCCACCTGAAAACCCGATAGGCCATTGCGAACCCTAGGCTGAGCTGTTGAACATGGATGTGGCAAATCAGATGTTCCATAGCCGAGGATTGAGGGATCTTGCGTCTTGCCTTTGAACGGCCTAGGGATCCCGAGATTGTCCAAATCTTTTTGGGGTCTCATGGATGGGAAGGACACCGCGCTTCTGCAGATGTGGGACCAGATGCACCAAATGTGTTTCTGACCAAAGAAATGCCCAGGCACCAATCATCAATCACTTCGGGTGACAGTCAAAGAGCCAACAAAAATGTTTAGGCCGCCAGAGCCGACCCAAACCAAGCGCTTGATCCGCTTCTGAAGCAAGCAAGCTCACAGCCTTGGTCAGAGGGCTCAGCCGCTGTCCAATGGTATCGTCCAAGGGGCGATCCGTCGCCCAAGTAGCCTGTGAAAATCCTGTTGCCATCTGTTGAATCAAGGCCGCAGAGATCCCTTATGTTTCTACCCAAGGATAACAACTCAGCGGTATTTTGAACCTGGGATAGGACATGTTTTCTTTTGAATATGAGATGATCCCCTCCGTTCGTCAACTGTTGGCCACCGCAACAAGTGAAATCACCCCCCACAGAAGAAAAGAAAAGGTGAACCAGTAAAAAGGACACCTCAGGGAAACAAGATGCCCCCCGCCCCCAAATATGTATATATATATATATATATACACTGATTTATTTATATTATATATGTATTATATATAACTATACATATATATGTATACATATATATATATATGTATGGTTATTTATTTATAAGAAAGGCAATGTGTGCCATCGGATGAGCTCCACAGGGCTGCAACGCCCGATCGCCCGATGGCCTGTGGGCTTCTTGGTCATACTCTTGCGCCTGGCGGGAAAGGCAAAACGAGTCACAATCAAAACCCGGTATTAAAATGGTCTACTCAGAACCATGTAAAGAATGTAAGAAGGCGGCCGCAACTACTTCTGGCTGGGACTGCCCCTTACTAACCTTCATCCACCCGGGTTTTGATTGTGGCTCAAATGCCAGCGGAACCCATCCGATTCCAGCTTCGCATGGCAGAAAGCCCGCCGGTGCGGTTCAAGGGTGACGCCATGCGACGCCGATTCGTGGCGGAACGTTGCCACCTCAAGTCTCTGTCCACATGCCCGGCATTCGGCCCAGGAATTGCCCAGGAGCGGAACAGATCTGGTTTCAACTTTTCACCCAGTTTGCTGGCGGAAAAACCGAGAGACGCCCCAAAGGTTGGAAGGGCAACGGGTGACCCTCAATCGGTTCTACCACTCTGGTGCCAGCGATTCGGGTGCCACGCTGATTCGGATGCCACGCTGCCACCATGGCACAGTTTTACGTGGAGTTCCCGGACAAAAAGCCGCTCCAATTGGTGGTTTGGAGCCGAATCGGTGAGTTGGAGGTGTTCCGGGGGTGGCTTACCAATCTAAACCACCAAATGAGGGGGTTCCCTCCCAAAAAGGTGAACTATGCCAATGTTGAATCAAAAAAGCCAGCCGCAAGCCGGCCCAAAAGTGATCAAGTCCAGAGATCCGTTTCCAAATTGCCACAAAGCTCAAAGATATGGGAGTGGCTCAGAATTGAAGAGCTGGGGTTACACCGAGGGGCCGTCAAAAAATTGGGTGCCAGCCTCTTCAGCCACAGCCAATATGCTTGGTTGACGTTGAAAGGGGAGCAAAAATTTAAGTTTTAGCAGTTAAGTGGGGATTTCTCACTAAACCACAATAAGCAAAAATGTACAAAGTTTCCCAACCACAACCATGTATGGATCAGCGCGGATTCCTATGACCCTAACCTGCAGGAGGGTCTATGTTGGTGAGTGCCAGCTTCATTTTGCACAAGTCCCATGATGGTTTTCGTTGTTTTCCTGGGTTCCCAGATTGTCTTGGTTGACGTTGGAAGGGGAGCAACAAATTCAAGACGTTAGCAGGTAAGTGTCTATGTTGG